GATGTTTATATGTGTGTGGGTGTGTTTGCTTTGAAGGTGTGCACGAAATTGGAAAATTTATGTACGAGAAATAATGAAATGATTTTGGGTAACCATGACCGTAAACGTGAGCATCTTAAGTGGCTGGCATTTGCCACTTAGATTTATTTAGACAAGTAAATGTGGGGTTTGTTAGAAATTGTACGAAATATGCAAATTGTGGTAGAGGGATCAATCAGTTTTAAATTAAATTTTCAATATAAAGTTCTAGATCAGTTTGGAAAGAAAATAAAATTTTAATTAAGGAGAGAAAAAACTAAAATTTTTCTTCGTTGGGTTAGATAAACTTTAAAAAGTAGGCAACTTTTAGGCAAATTATTTTATTAACCCGCCACCAGCCTTTACAAGTTAATACTCTCCAAACAGTTTCATTGCTTACTGTCTCAGAAAATGTATCTTTGGCAATTTCAAAAATCTATACCAAACTGTCAAGACACACATTCCTGTCACACACACGTACTAATATATATTTATTATATCTACTCTCTGGTTGCCCATATTTTGTTACGATGTTTCGTTTTGTGGTTCCACCATTTCATATCACTGCCACACACTACACTCGTTCGTTAATTTTCATATTTTCTTTGTTTTTCCCACTTTTCCAGGTGCCAGTGTTTTAACGGAACCGATAAAATTCACACTTGGCGAGCATCATGTAAACTCCGCGACAACATCATACTCGAATGCTGTGGGTACGATAAGCGGCATCGTTGCCAGCATTTTGGAGGTGCTGTTAGCAGTCGCCGCCATTATTTTCTACAGACGACATCGAGCAAATGGTAAGGCAGCCACTGGAGTGGCTTTTGAGAATCCAACATACACTCGAGGTTTAGAACAAGTACAGGTAAGAGTTATGAGCGAATTTTTCCTAAAAATTTACCACAAAACACTCCCTTCACAAATACACAGGCAGCCACAGTTAACACACCACACACACAAAATGCATGAAACAAAGAATAAAATAAGCAAGGCAAATAAGAGCCAAGCCAAACAACAAAATTGAATTTATTGTATCAAAGTAGGTTGTTGTTGTTGTTTTTGTTGCTGTTATGTTGTAAACATACGACGTGTTGTGTGTTTTAAAGTCGAAAAACAAAAGCAAACACAAAATGAGTGAAATCAGTTGCAAAAGGTCCCAGGGAAAGATAAAACAATGAAGCTCAACCAACAGTGGATCGTAGAAGGCTAAATATGTTAAATTGTGGGTTAAGGCAACCCCACCCATTCTCGATTTTCATTTTTCAAGATTTTCAAAGGGCTGGTAAATCAATACCAACGCTTGTTAAGGTATGTAACTTTGCATATATATATTTGAAGATGTAAAAGAGAAGAAAAATAATTTACAAAAAATGTGTGTTGTTGTTGTTTTTTGTAACTAAAGAAAAGTCCTTATTTTTGATGGCGGGCATGATAACTCCTCACTGGAACATCGGTATCCGAATATTCCAACGGGGTTAGAAAGAGTACATGTCTGGCTCTCGTATGAACTAGGATTATTGACTTCGCTCTAAAATTAACAAAATGGCGGACCTTTGAAAAAAATATTTTTGGGAAATCGCCGATTTTTGACCAAAAACCAAGTTAAAAGATAAGGAAGATCTTCACCGATTGGCTTTATCCTAGTTCATACGAAAGCAGTACACTCACAGAGAAACGTGTAACAATTTGATTGATTAGTTTTTGAGATATCGTGCCCGCCATTCGCAAAAGAGAAAAACGCGTTTAAAGTTTGAGAAGCCCTTTAGCCGTCACTTGATGCTGACACAATAAATCGGCTATATCTTCAAGAGTGGTGGGGGGGGGGGGGTGGTTCTCTTAACTTTTAATGGATTCATAATAACGTTAAATAATTCTGGGCATAGGTTCCACGTTCACTTTTTCAATTCAAATATTAGCTTATCTAGTGAATGTTTCACGTTTGAATCTAATCGGTCTTGTGGATATATGTATATCCACATGAAAAAGCCTTGAGGTGTGATATTACACGACCTTGATGTCAAATCGACCGGCCCAAAACTACTTTTTTCTCAATAAATCCATTGGCTTTAGCATCCAATCAATTTGGCGGTTTAGCATTGGATAGAAAATATTCTTACCAAAAATGCCAAATTTCTGTATAATCGGAAGTTTGGACATATTTTGGATTCTCATTGTGAAGCAAATCTTTCCGCCACACTTTCGGTAAAATTTGCATTCAGGGATGGTTAACCTGAATGCAAATTTTTATACTCTCCAACATAAGGGGAGTCATTCCGATTGTAAAACCTCTCATCCTCGAAATATCGTCTGATCACTACCGAAAACTGTAGGCTTTCACGTTTTAGAGACCATAACCGAAATTAATGTAAAATTTAATCCTACGATCAGTAACTGGGTACGTTTGTACATTTTTATACATTCCACCACTCTGTTGTATAGAGTATTATGTCTTTGTACATACGTTTGTAACAGGCAAAAGGAATCGAGAGTGACCCATTGTACCTTTTGAGAATATTATTATCACAAGCCGTTTCGAAGGAACATTGAAATTGAACGAATTGAATGTGAAATTAAAGTGAACCGACTTACATCAATCCATATACATGTCTTTCTGAAACCTATGCTAAATTTCATTCAATCAGATTTAGAGCCATTTGCGTACATATTTAAAACAAACTTGATACACCATATGTTCAAGCTTGAATCTCAATCATACACACGTTTGAAGTATCTATGGAGCTATGCCTGTGTCTTCACCAATTTCAACAAAAGACAATAACGCCATGCTAGTCTCAACTTGATACGTTGTGCAAAATTTCGTATCAATCGGACAGGAGTACGGTGAACCATTTTCCTAAAATCTAAAATCTAAGAAAACCGATTTCAACAAAACTTTCCAGAGATTAATTTATATTTACTTCAGTAAATTGTACAAAATTGAGTGTCAATCGGACAAACTTTGAGTCTTTAGTGCACAACTAAATAAAATCGGAAAAAAATATATAAGGGAACTATATCCAAATCTGAACCGATTTTTACGAAACTTGGCACACATCATTCTAGACTTAATTCAGCACGTTATTCAAATTTTAGCGCAAATCGAAAGATATATAGGGACTTTGGTGTACCATTTCTATTAAATCGGACGAAAATATATGTGGGAGCTATATCTAAATCTGAACCGATTTTCACGAAACATAGCACACATCATTCTACACTCAATTCAGTACTCTGTGCCAAATTTTGTGCAAATCGAAAGATTTATAAAAAAGATCGGTCGAACTATATATGGGAGCTATATCTAAATCACACATCCCAAAACCATCGATGTATTATAGTTCCACGTGGTGTGGGAACCTTCACGTCACTGTCAGTACACCTATGTTAGAGGTTTTCGAAAGTTTGGTCCGGTCGAACATAATGCTTTTATTATTTTTTTTTTCGATTTTCGTTGACTGTTTTAATGCCTCAGCTAAGTGTATACACTGAAAGAAAAGGCTGTGCAGCAATAATATTGAAGTAACGGTACTGCTAGGATTCTATCTATGATGGGCTATCCTATTAGACTTCAGCGTAATGAGTTTGACCAACAATTTGGTAAATTGAATTAGCAGTCTAACAGTGAATCGTCTTAAAATCAACTCAGTTTACACAATTTAAACAAATAGACCATGTTCTTAGATAGAGGACTTCGTCGTACTCAGTTTGCAAAATTCCCCACAAAATTTATTTTTAAATTTGTATCTGGATGTAACCGATTTGTTTCCAAACATTGCATACTTAAATATCGTTCGAAAATGCAAGATATTAAAAAATCCTCCACAAAATTGTCGAAAGCTTAAACAAAGACAATATATCATGCATTCAATTGGATACAAAATTTATTTGCGAATCCTGTATATACTGCAAGATGTGTAAGGCACCAAATTGATAGACTCGTGCGATAATGGATCATTTCTTTCTAAGTATTTTATTATTATAGTTCACATAAGTGAAATATGCGCCTGAAAGTATGCTTTGATTTTTGTTCAGTCGTTACTGGGTGACACAACAATAAATACTGGTTTTTAGTTTTTGGTATCAACTGCGTGAATAGAGCACACACAAATATATGACGCATTTGGAATGTTAAACATATAAATTGAATAAATTTTAATAGAATTTATAATTTTTTAGATAAATATGGTTAAAAATTAATTCAAGTTTTATTATCACAGACATATTCAACAACAACAAAATCCAACTATAATACGCTCTTTTCAAATAACATTAACCCTAAAATATATAATCTTGAATATGAACAAAATAACAAAATAATGTATTAAGATGCCATGAACTTGACATGACCTATATTAAGGTCATTATTTTGCAATACTCAATCTCATTTTATTGTTGTTGTTGTAGACAGTGATGTGTCTAGACAGTTATTAGTAAATTCAATTAGATTATGTCCGAATTGAAGCACTCTTTTGTGATCCACTGTTTAAGAATTTCTTACTATTTTTGGGTGGGTAATTCTGTGGGCCTTCGTATTATTTTGACAATGGCAGCTTAGTTTGTTGCTGATACAACAACAACAATTGTGCTGCTTCAAATATAAATTTATGGTGGCTCGCCTGTTTGCTTACTTATTTACTTCTTGTCTTTCTTTTATTCTTCTTTGTGTGTTTTTGTCATCAAATTTTTCTTAAACAATTCACTTATATTTTTTTGTATTTATTTTATTTTTTGTATTTTTCTTTTCCTGTCACGCTAAATGTCAAACTCAATGAACACACGTATGTGCATATGTGGTTGTGTGTGTATGTGTGTTGAAAAATCCTTCTGTGTATGGCAAACCGAAAATAATCAAATCCTCCCTTTTTCTCTTGCAACTTAATAATAAACTCACGCTTAGTTACCAACTGTAACATCCGCCCTGACGCATACTAATGGCAATGGTAACTTTAGTCGGGCACCAGCCGCCTCAACCAATTTGACAACAACAACAAATACGACAACACCTGCCACCATGACAACCCGAGTGGGGACAAACGGCGGAGTTGTGATTGGTGCCGGTGATGGGCATAGTAGTGGTAATGGAGCAGCCAATAAAACCTCAAGTCTGGATGGCGTAGACTCACACACCCAGTGCAATGAAGTGAACCCAACAATCTATGAAGAGCTCAAACTTGGTCAAGAAGGTGCGGGATTTAAAAAGCTTGTGCCATAGAACCCTTAATGAGGAAACAAAACAAAAAAGCTAAAACAAATGTTGTAACTCTTAGAGGACACCTATAAATTTACCCCTCCCCTGCCAGAACACCCTTTTGGAAATCCTTTAAATTTTTTCTTCCCTCTAAAAACGAAACAGCCAAGCTCCAAAAAAAATTGTGATCACTTCTTAGCCCCCTGATCTTTGGTATTACAAGAAAGCAAAAAAAAAAAACAAACACACACACACTTACTTCCAGTACTATCTAATCATATACATATATAAAAATTGTTTATATATATTTTTTAAAAATAATAATTGCTATTACAACAAATTGTATTTTTTAAGAGAAAGAAAAGTAGTTAATCATGTTGATAAATATTTTGTTGATTAAAAAAAATAATAAAAAAAACAAAAAATTATAACAAATATTGCTAGGCTTGAATTATTATTTTTATTTTATTTTTTAATTTTGGTTTTTTGGTAAACGTGAAAAAAAATGTGTGAATCCGTAAAGGTATGACCTTTAGTATGTAAAAGTAATGTAAATATCTATAAATATATATAATATATCTTATTAACCAATACCAACCAATAAATATGTAATATTTGTAATGTAGTCTAACAACATGTTGTGAAATAGCGTAGTTAATTGTATTTTGTATAAAAACAATGGGTATAACAACAAACAAATTGACATGTTTTTTTATTATTTAATCTTTAAAATGAAATAAATAAATTACTAAAAAAATATATACAAAAATAATAATACTAATTAAATTTTCATTTGGCTTTAATAACTTGTGGAAACTTAGGCTATTATCATAAATACATTTCCGTTTATAAAAACGGATGTGAACATTTCTCATTAAATTGGATATATTAATAGCGATAATTGTCGTTTGCTAATCCATCATTTTAGTTTGATTATTTTGAGATTTATTATTTTTTTACATGCTCCATATGTAGTGATATTTTGAATAAAAAGGTAAGTTTGTTTTTATAAACATAAATCTCATTTAAAAACATTAGGAGAAATCAGTTTAGGATAAAACTGTATATGAGAACTGTATGTAAAACTGGATCGATTTAAACCAATCGTAACACACGTCATTCCGTATGCTGCAGTATCATTTATCTAAATCTAAACCAATTTGACATCGACATCGACATTGTGTATACAATTTGGTACGCTGTGCAAAATTTCATATCACTAGAATAAACAGTGATCTTTACACCCTTCACCACACTGTGGTGACATAATACCCTGTATTATGTCTTTGTGCAGATGTTTGTAACAGGCAAAAGGAAACGAGATAGACACATGGTTCCTTCTGAGAATATGCATATGTGTTTTTCTCTTTGGTGAATGGTGGGCACGATAACTCAAAAAGTAATGACCCAATCGATTCCAAATTTTTCACGTTTCTCTGTGAGTGTATAGCTAACGTATGAACTAGGATAAAGCCAGTCGGTGAAGATCTTCCTTATTTTTTAACTTGGTTTTTGGTAAAAAATAGATTTTCCAAAAATATTTTTTCAAAGGTCCGCCATTTTGTAAATTTTAGAGCGAAGTCAATAATCCTAGTTCATACGAGAGACAGATGTTCCGATGTTCCAGTGAGGAGTTATCATGCCCGCCATCAAAAATAAGGACTTTTCTTTAACTACAAAAAACTACAACAAAACAATAACAAATTCTTTTTGTAAATTATTTTTCTTCTCTTTTAAATCTTCAAATATATATCTGTAAAGTTACAAACATTAACAAGTATTGGTATTGACTTACCAGCCCATTGAAAATCTTGAAAAATTAAAATCGTAAATTGGGGGGGTGTGTTCCCTTAAGGTAAATGGTGCACCAAAGTCCCTAAATATCTTTCGATTTGCACGAAATTTGGCACATCGTACTGAACTAAGCCTAGAATGGTGTGTGCTAAGTTTCATGAAAATCGGTTCAGATTTAGATATAGCTCCCTTATATATTTTTGTCCGATTTAAGGTAAATGGTGTACCAAAGTCCCTAAATATTTTTCGATTTGCACGGTTTAGATATAGATAAAGATCACATATATAAATTCGTTCAATTTCATGTCAATGTTCTTTCGAAAAGGCGACATCTATTCGGACACATATGTAGAATATTCACAAAGTGGTGAAGTGTATCATATAGTAGTACTACGAACTTTGAACTTTACAAATTTAGTTTCAGAACCTAGTGCCAAGCAGCGCCAGAGGATATTTTAGTGGTTGTGGCACCGCCAATCGACGACTTGATCTGTTTTCTGCCCATCGGTCCAATATTGGTCTAATAGTGAGGAGATTTAGTACCACAAATGAACCCAAATTACAGCTAATTCGGTTAAAAAACTTGCCAAAATACCGTAAATTGCGTGGCCTTCTATTGGATGGCTATGCTATAGACTATTATCGAACTTGGATGACACCACCTTATTTGTGGTGGAGGGTATAAAAATGTGAAATGATAGGTAATTATATTCATCCATCTCTGGTGGTAAATATCAGCAGCCTGAAAGTAGGCTAAGGGTTTGTATTTATTATACTAGTTTAAAATTACGATATATACACAAAATATAATATCGTAATATGCAATATAACGAATAATGTAATGGTGTCGGAGTCAATTTTTACTTTACATAATATAATATTATGGAGCATAATTATCGAGCATAATTTTCTCTGTTACACAAATAAACGCATTGTAAGAAAAACCACACTGTGGTACAATATTATCTCTTTGTACATATGTTTGTATGTATATGTCGATGTTCAATTGCAAACACAGTACAGATCGCATTTATGATCCGAATTGGATGAAATTTGGCAAAGTTCATCTATTTGATCGACGGACGAACCCTATTGAAATTGGGAAAAATCGATTCAGATTGAGATATAGCTACCATATACATAAAGCTCCTAATAATTGTCCGATTCGTACGAAATTTTGCACAACGTATCAAATTGAGACTAGAATGACGTTATTGTGTTTTGTTGAAAATGGGGCAGATGCAGACATATGAGGTATATTTCGAACCGGTGTCTGATTGAGATTAAATTGTAGGGCATACCGAATATCGTGTATCAAGTCACAATGTCACAAACGACTCTAAATCTGTCGAATAAAATCAAATTTAGCATAGGTTGCAGAATGGCATGTTAGTCGGTTCACTTACAAATAAGGAGAATATACCCAAAGTAATGAAGGATATAATATAATCGACCCAGTCCGACTTTACTACTTTCCTTAATGGTTTTTAATTAACTTAACTTAATTACTTAACGAACTTTTAATTAACTCCAGATTATCTTGGAGAACGTATTTTTTTTAACCAAATTTGTCCTAATTTCTTTATCATTGGGAGCCTAATGTTTACAGTGGCAAAAACCCATTATTTATGAGGACCCGAACGATAACTGGTATTTTAAGTGTCCACATTATGTTGGAGGTTCTATTTTGTTTTTTGTGAATATATGTCTTCATTGTCCAAAAATATGTTTTTAAATTTGTTATAACAAAAACCATTATCCCACTATTTAATTTTACAGTCGCTGATGATGAATGATTTCCCGTTGTAGTAGCTTTTGTATTACTTTTTTAATTCTTATCACGAAAAATAGGCCTAACAATATGTCAAAAACATTCTTCTTTTTATACCCTTCACCACACTGTGGTACAGGGTATTATGTCTTTGTGCATATGTTTGTAACAGGCAAAAGGAAACGATTTAATGTAAACGGTCCCTATATATCTTTCGATTTGCACGAAATTTGGTACAGCCTAATCATTTAGGTCTAGAATGATGTCTGCCAAGTTTCGTGAAAATCAGTCCAGATTTAGATATAGCTCCCATATATAGTTTCGTCCGATTTCATGTAAATGGTGCCCCAAAGTCCCTATATATCTTTTGATTTGCACGAAATTTGGTATAACGTGCTGAATTAAGCCTAGAGTGATGTATGCCAAGTTTGGAGAAAATCGGTCCAGATTTAGATATAGCTCCCATATATAGTTTCGTCCGATTTCATGTAAATGGTGCCCCAAAGTCCCTATATATCTTTCGATTTGCACGAAATTTGGTACAGCCTAATCAATTAGGTCTAGAATGATGTCTGCCAAGTTTCGTGAAAATCGGTCCAGATTTAGATATAGCTCCCATATATAGTTTCGTCCGATTTCATGTAAATGGTGCCCCAAAGTCCCTATATATCTTTTGATTTGCACGAAATTTGGTATAACGTGCTGAATTAAGCCTTGAGTGATGTATGCCAAGTTTGGAGAAAATCGGTCCAGATTTAGATATAGCTCCCATATATAGTTTCGTCCGATTTCATGTAAATGGTGCCCCAAAGTCCCTATATATCTTTCGATTTGCACGAAATTTGGTACAGCCTAATCATTTAGGTCTAGAATGATGTCTGCCAAGTTTCGTGAAAATCGGTCCAGATTTAGATATAGCTCCCATATATAGTTTCGTCCGATTTCATGTAAATAGTGCCCAAAGTCCCTATATATCTTCTGATTTGCACGAAATTTGGCATAACGTACTGAATTAAGCCTAGAGGGATGTCTGCCAAGTTTGGAGAAAATCGGTCCAGATTTAGATATAGCTCCCATATATAGTTTCGTCCGATTTGATGTAAATGGTCCACCAAAGTCGCTAAATATCTTCCGATTTGCACGAATTTTGGCATAACGTACTGAATTGAGTCTAGAATGATGTCTGCCAAGTTTCGTGAAAAT